AAGTTTGTTAAGTCGAAAAGTTTGTAAGTTGAACCAGCATTTCCCATAGGAATGTACTGAAAACCAATTAATACGTTCCGGCTGTTTTTGGTCCTTAGGTCGAGGGGCGGTTTGTAAGTCGAATCATTAGTTCCCATAGGACCTAATGCAAAGCTGGTTAATTCGTTCCTACCATTAAGGGCAGAATTTTTTTATTTTTCTTTTTAACCTAAGATGCCGTAGGTTTAAAAAAAAGGCAGGAAACCATGGAGGGAACGAACGAACACTGTTTAAAAAGAACACTTGTAAATCAAGCACCTTTTACACCAAAACAGGCACCTTTTCAAAACAAGCAGCTTTTAAAGCAACCAAGCACGTTTTTACCCAAGCAATTTTTAACTCAAACCAAGCTCTCTTTTACACAAGCACTGTTTAACCCAAAAGGTGCTTTTAGTTTGAAAGCACCTTTTAAACTAAATTTCACATTTAAAAATGACAATATCAGACAGTCCCAGATCTCTCTTCCCACTCTCTAACCGCTTGGACGAGTGACGAAGCAGACAAGCAGCCTCTTCGCTAACTGAAAGTTCGAATTTCCCACTTTCCCTGTCTTCCCCACACTTTTTTCCATTCGTAACTTGAATCCAAGTTTTTAAGTCGACTCCATATTTTCGTATCAGAGTGGTTCGTAAGTCGAAATGTTTGTAACTAGGGCCATTCGTAAGTCGAGGGTTGACTGTACGCTGGACTGCCAGAAAGAGGAACAAGTGGGGTCCTAAATCAAATCAAACCTGAACGATCCCTGGAGGCAAAAATGTTGAACCTGGGTCTGTCCTACTTTGGGCCCCTCACGAGAAGGTAGGAGTCTCTACAAAAGACAGTAACACTGGGGAAAGTAGAAGGCAGCAGGAAAAGAGGAATACCGAACATGAGATGGACGGACTCCCTAAAGGAAGCCACAGGGGCTTGAGCAGGGCAGTGTTGAGGACAAAACCTTTTAGAGTCTGCTCATTTCTTGGGTGACCATAAGTCAGAGGCAACAGATGGCGCATAACAACCAAGGTGGGGGAGAGAAAAGCATATACTGTAGAATATTGAAACATCTCCCCACCTCAAAAGACTATACAGTAACAGAGATGGGAAAGGGTTAAACGGGGAGAGGTCAAAGCAGATCTTTCTCAATGGGGTTGGACTGAACTCCCAACAACCTTCATCAGTGGCAAGGGTGATGGAAGGTGTAGCTGAGCATCATCTGGAAGGTTGCATCTGGTCTGCCCTGACCACCACCATTCTCCCCCCTCCACGCCATGGGCCTTTAGGCAACCTGAAACCCACCCACCCCCACCCCAAATGCTTCAGTTTTGAATCTAATCCACAAGGCTGGGGTAGGCAATGTCCAGAAATCCAGGGATGAAGGCGTGCACGCACACACGCACACACACAACTTGGGAGGGCCATGCTCACTTCCACGACCCACCTCTCTTAACTATTCCTTACAAAAAATGCTCTTTTTAAAACAGGAAAAGCCCCCTTGAACCCTCTTGCAGCTACGCTTTTGTTTTAAAGTAATAATGGGATAGGAAGAAGAATATTAATCGTACACTCTTAACTAAAATTCTGCCCTGCTCTTTATTCTGCTGCCTGTTTTCCAAGTTTTTTTTTAAATGGTTCTTAAGTTTTAAACACCAGTTTCCTTCATTCAGGCCAAAAGGGGACTTATACATTTAGAAATAAATAATAAAACAAGAAACAGCCCACTGGTCAAGATTTAGCGTTCAAAAACACCACACGCTTGTTCTGCTTTACAAGCTTCCTGTAGTGAGGAGGGGTTTAAACTAGACGACAGACAGGTATCTTTCCAACGCTAGAATTGACAAAAAGAACATCGTTTTGAGTCTCAACAGAAGCATCAACACAAAATACGTAGTAGACTCTAGAACTGACTGGCGTCAGTATTTCTCTTTCACCCACAACCACACGGCTACAAAGGAAAACTTTACGGAGGCTGCAAACTTTTCGTGAAGACCGGAAACAATAGTTTTAGGTCTGAGGTTAAAAAGAAAACGTCGCTGCTAATAGAAATCCTTGACGAGTCTACTCAAAAGTAAATATGACAAGCCTACATTGACTTCTTAACTTGTGCCAATTTGTTGTGAACCACCTGCCCTCTGACTAAAAGGATAACAGGATTCTGTGCATTCACTGCCATCTCTTAAGGTAGGGGTTTTTAAAAAACATTTTACATGTTTTTCATCATTCAGTGTATTTTAATCTGCTTTATAGTTTGTTTTTAAAAAATGTATAATGTACTGTGTTTTTTAATTCTAAATAATTCTGAGTTGCCTTCAGTCCCTTTATTGGGAAAAAGGTGGCCTATAGAGAGAATGTGTTTTAATACACCATAACTCCCATGGTTGGGGGATTATGGGAGCTGGTTGTTCAAAAAAGATAATATTTTTCAAGTTCTGTGTAAGGCGCTGGGCAGATCTGCAAGGAAAGGCCCTTTCAAAAGTGGCACCAATAATAGGTTGTTTTCCATTATGGAATTGCCTTCACGCTCTTTGAGAAGGGTGGCTGAAATACCATTTTTTTGTGATGAAATTATGGCTCAGCTTTGACTCAGTATTTACGGCTTCTTCTATTCATGTTTCATGCTTCCTGGTGTTTTCATGAATTCCAACTTTTTTTCTCTTATTTAGATTATACTATGGCTTGCATACGTTGTCATAGGCAGGAAAGCTGGCTCAGCTGAACACGGAAGTAAAGAAGAAAAGACAAACTTAATGTCCAACCCTAAAGAGACCTTGCAATTTTACTAAATAATCCGGTGACTTTTCTTCTCTGTTCTGACATCATTCTTCCTGACAGCCTTCCAAAGGTCATTCAACATACAGGCTATGTATTCTCATAAATCCTGTAAAATTTGCATTTGTGAGGATTACATTCACAAATTTGCTGCTTTTTTTACATTATTCAATTTTTTTTAAAAAAAAGCAACTTAAATGAACTGTTTGATCCCGTTAGAGGTACAGTATTAACACTCTACTGAAATATAAGACTGATGTACTTTTGAAAGACTGTTTTACTGTGGAAAGATAAATTCAGAGGCCCTTAGTACAGGGTGGATTTAATTTAAATTGTTGTTGTTTAGTCGTTCGTGACCTCATGGACCAGAGCACGCCAGACCCTCCTGTCTTCCATGGCCTCCCGGGTATTTATGGCTTCTTTTATTTCTGTCCATGGAGTTTTCTTGGCAAAGATACCGGAGTGGCTTGCAAGTTCCTGCTCCAGTTGGATCGGATAGGATTTTTTTTGACCATTTAAAGGTTAAAAAATTGATTTTTTTTAAAAAAATTAAAACGTGATTTAAATCAATTTGATTTTTTTAAAAAAATGATTGATTTTTATCCACCCTGCCTTAGTAGATGGATGTACTGCACAAATTCAAAAAACTTGCTTAATTGGCCTTTATTTTGCTTTTATTTATGACTCTTTCAACACTTTACATAACTAATGTTCATTCCACTGAGCACAGGGAGGAGCCCCACTTAAGTGAAACCCCATCCTCCACCCTTGTGCAGCAACCAGAAGAAGATGACATGGCTGTCTTTGAATACAGTACATGGAGATGGTTGTACATGAAAAAAAATAAAAATACAAACATCCCCTGAAAAGGAAGAGGCGCACGCACCGACGGGCGCATGGGGGCATTGGCCAGGGAGGCAGGGGAAAGGAATGCACCTATGAACCTGCACGAACTTCCGAACCAAGATTTGTGCCCATCTCCATTCAAACCATTTGAAGTTTGGCAAGACCTCAGCATTTCTCCAAAATCACTAGGACCATGTGACCAGGTGTTGAACGGGCACCCACTGAATTTCCAAGACCAATAAAGACCGTGATGGAGGGACTCCACGCAGACTAGCTGGTCTGGAGTCAACGATGCCAACAGGTCCCCTGCCTACATGCAAGAAACAAACGATTTCCCCATTTTGAAGAGACCAAAGGTTGATCTCCTCTAACCTTCTGTTCACACCCAACTCATCACGATAGGAAAAGACAGAAAAGAGGTGATCCCAGGCAAGGGTCTTACTTGGGGTAAAAGTTTGTGCTGGGGTAAAAGAAGAAGCGTTTGTGCTGGGATAAACTCTTCTGCAACATGCAAGTAAGACCAGAAGCAGTACCCCCCCCTCCAATTCCCCTGCACAGATGCACAAGCAACAATGCACTGAATAACCTGTTAAAACAGCATGGAGGGAAATAGGCAAACATTTTTAAGATACCGAGGGGGGCTGTTGAAATAAAAGCACTGGCCGGCTACGTGGGAGACAGCAACAGGCATAGAAAGAAAAGGGACGGCTTGTGGGTAGCCCCTATGTCATGGGAAGAAAGCGGGGGCTTGGGGGGGGAAGAGGGGAATGCCGTGCTATTCTCTCAACCGCTCTGGGGCTGCAGCCTTTCCGTCCGCAGCCCCTTCGGCAAGCCAACAAAGGGCAGGCCGCGCAATCGCCGTTCCCTTCATGTGGTGCCAAAGCACACAGATCCACAGAGATTCAGAACAATCAGCCCAGCTCCCATCGGAGAAAAAAAAAAGGTTGCAGCCAAACGCCATGGGCGGGGACCCCGTGAAACAAATCTTGGAATCTGCACAGAGGATGTAGGAAAATGTGACCATAATGGAGAGGGTGAGAGAGAGAAAGAGAGTGTTCCCTTTCCTAACGAATAAAAGGAAACGAGGAGGGGGGAGAAGACAGCACCGAGAACAAGATGAGGCAACGGGAACAGAATTAGAACAAGGTGGAGAGGCTGGAAAGTTCGACTAAAGCCAGCGGCACGCTACGGCAAGCCTCTCCCAGCCTGGCCCGCCACCCCGCTCCGTGTGCCGGAACACAACTCCCATCATCCCCCCCAACCAATAGGGTGTGTGCAATCCACCCCACCCAACAGGACTGGCTCCTGGCGTTCTCTCTTCCGCTTCCACCCTGGAGGAAAGTCCCTTTTTCAAAAGAGAGGGGGGGTACCTGTGGCATGTCATCTGCCCTGCCAGGCCGGTCTCCGGGCTCCGTTCACCCTGCACTGGCCCGGCCGGCTACCCTTCTCCTCACGCGTCGTCCTGCCTGGAAGAGAAACCCACTGGCTCTTCCACCTGAGCTGGAAGGTACCCGCATCATCATCATCCAGGCACTGAAACCACGTCCTTCAGGCTGTGACATCAGCCTGTTACCATGGGAATGATGGGGGCTGCTCAGAACTCAGCGCTACGGAAACTGCTGCAGGATCAAGGCAGACGGGAGAGGCCGTTCCTTATTTTTTAATTTTAGTTCGATGCATCGAGCCAGAGGAAAGAATGCAACTGCCAGATGCTTGTCACGTCTAAACGGCTGCTGTCGTTGGTCCACCTGTTCGGCAGGTCGTTAGTACGATTTATCCATCAACAGTGGGGGAGGCAACTTTAACGTGAGCGTCAATCTGACCCAAAACCCCCTTTGGAGTCCTCTCCATCCACCCAAATAGGGGCGCTTCTCTGGGAAAGCGTGTCTCAACAGAAAGCCACTTGTTGGTGAGCGGGAGGGTGCCAGGGGATTAAAAGGCCTCTGGGCTGTAGATGAATGGCCCAGCGCCGGCAGGGTGCACAGATGGTCGTGGGTCTGTCCATCAACACCTCCGCTGACGTGCGCTTGGGCTTCTGGATTGCATTCGCCCGCGCAAGTCACCAAGAGAAAACTTCACTCACCCACCGACAATCTTTCAGGACATTATCTTCTTGACGCTTGCCGTTTGAAAAGCAGGCAGCCCCGTTTTAACAAAGCCTAAACTGACGGAGCGGGGAAGAGATGGGTGAATATCTTGCATCTTTTATCCTACCTTGGATTCCTTTTAAAGGCGGGATAAAAATCTTTTAAACTAAAGCAAACACCCATACACACGCTTGTTTCAAGCTTCAGCTTTGCCATATAAAAGGTAAAGGTTCCCCTTGACAATTTGTGTCCAGTCATGTTCGACTCTAGGGGGCGGTGCTCATCCCCGTTTCCAAGCCATAGAGCCAGCGTTTGTCCGAAGACAATCTTCCGTGGTCACCACCCATACACACGCTTGTTTCAAGCTTCAGCTTCACCATATAAAGCACTCGGATAAATTAGGGGGCCGCCCTTCAGTAAGTGAGTCATCACTGCAGTTGTCCAATCGAATCATCAGCTGCCCAGTCGGAATACCGACAACAAATGGGGAAAATTTGGGAACGAAGGCGCTTCTGCTGCCCCCAGTTCAAAACTGAAAAGGGTATCACCCCAACTATTGATCTACTTGCATTTGCATGCTTTCGAACCGCTAGGTTGGCGGGAGCTGGGACAAGCGACGGGAACTCACTCCATCGCATGGATTCGATCTTACGACTGCTTAGTCTTCTGACTCTGCAGCACAGACTTTTGCGGTTTAGCCCGCAGCGCCACCACGTCCCTCTTTGCCATATAAAGCACTCAGATAAATTAGGGGGCCACCCTTCAGTAGGTGAGTTATCACTGCAGTTGTCCAATCGAATCACCAGTTGCCCAGTTGGAATACCGACAACAAATGGGGAAAAATTGGGAACGAAGTTCAAAACTGAAAAGGGTATCACCCCAAGATCTTGGAAACCTGAGGCCTCAGAATAACAGGAAACGGTGGCCATATAAAGCACTCAGATAAATTAGGGGGCCACCCTTCAGTAGGTGAGTTATCACTGCAGTTGTCCAATCGAATCACCAGTTGCCCAGTTGGAATACCGACAACAAATGGGGAAAAATTGGGAACGAAGTTCAAAACTGAAAAGGGTATCACCCCAAGATCTTGGAAACCTGAGGCCTCAGAATAACAGGAAACGGTGGGCATAGATGGGTGGCTAGCTCAATATAAGGGAGCTTGTTATGTTCACAGATGATGCTTTAAGATCTCCCTTCCCAGATGGATCAGAACCAGCCACTAGCATACGGAAGCCCCTGCAAGCCAGCAGGTGCTAGAGAAGCCCATCATCACCACCCACCTCTGACTTCTGGAAGTTCTGCTTGGTGCTTCTACAACACGAAGGCCACCCCAGATATTTTTCCTTTTCAATAAGGCATGAGGGCTAGCAACTTAGGCTAAAATTAGCAGGAGGCTGAACTGAGAACCACCCACCCAAGCCGATTTTTGCACAGAATACAGTCCTGCCTTCAATCTGTCCTGATGCCCCAGTTCGGGGGGAAAATTGCAAGCTGTTTTAAAAGGGGCAGGGAAGACGTGAACCTGAGCACTGCATTTCAGGAAACTGTGGCTTGAATTTTGGGGTTGGGAGGAAATCGAGACCAGTTCTCAGCTTCAGCTTTTGTGTTGTGTTGTTACAGAAGCAGAAGCATCGCAAACCCATTCCAGCTAACAGAGCACTGCCTATATCCCTTTAGATAACTGTTTGGCAACCAAGGCTTTGCCAGATTAGGGTGTGGAAAACAAGATACTGTATGTAGAGAGCCACAAAATCCTAAATTTCAGGAGTGGAGTCTAGTCTAGAATGAACTCCAAGTTTGGATTCAACCTTTGGCCATAGCCCATGCGGATGATGACATCAACAGGCACAATGACCTAAGGCCAGGGCCCTTGAACAGGCGCTGCTCTTCTGCTCTGCCATGGTGCAATTTATGGAAGTTTCACCAAGAATCCTGGTGATCCAGGTCAGTTTCAGACTAGAACTTCATGCCGCAGAGACTGATTTTCAGTGGATCACAGGACAGGAAACAAAAGAACCAGCCCAACAAAAAACAGTATCCGTGCCACCATCTTCATTTCAGAATCTGTTTTTGTTGTTTAGTTGTTAAGTCATGTCTGACTCTTCGTGACCCCCATGGACCAGAGCCCGCCAGGCCCTCCAGTCTTCCACTGCCTCCCGAAGTTGGGTCAATTTCATGTTGGTAGCTTCCATGACACTGTCCAACCATCTCGTCCTCTGTCGTCCCCTTCTCCTCTTGCCTTCACACTTTCCCAACATCAGGGTCTTGTCCAGGGAGTCTTCTCGCCCTGTGCGATGACCTACTGAGAGAGGCCGACAGGGGTAAAGTGTCTCTGTTGGTTCTCCTTGACATCTTAGCGGCCTCTGATACCACTGACCACGGTATCCTCCTGGGGAGGCTCTCCGAGTTGGGAACAGGTGGTCTGGCATTGGCCTGGCTCCATTCCTTCTTGGAGGACCGTCCCCAGAGAGTGCAGCTTGGGGAGAGCGTCTCGGCCCCGTGGAATCTCAACTGTGGGGTCCCACAGGGGTCGATCATCTCCCCAATGCTGTTTAACATCTACATGAGGCCGCTGGGTGGTGTCATCAGGGGGTGTGGAGCCTTGTGTTATCAGTATATGGATGACACACAGCTCTACATCTCCTTTTTGCCAACTGCAGGAGATACCGTTCTGTCCCTTCAGCGCTGCCTGGGGACCGTACTGCATGCAGTACTGGATGCAGGAGAACGGGCTGAGGCTGAACCGGGACAAGATGGAGGTACTGAGGGGATCTGGGAACCTCCCTCTCTTTTGGGGGGGTGACCCTCCCCGCCAAGGATGGGGTCTGCAGTCTGGGGATCCATCTGGACCCGGCGCTCACCATGGAAACATAGGTGGCGTCGGTGGTCCGCTCCACCTTTTTTCATCTCAGGCGGATAGCCCAGCTGCGGCCCTACCTTGATGTGGGGGTGCTCACTACCTTGGTACATGTGCTCGTAATCTCAAGATTAGACCACTGTAATGCGCTCTACGTGGGGTTTCCTTTGGGGCTGCTGCGGAAACTACAGGTGGTGCAGAATGCGACGGCCAGATTACTTAGTGGAGTGAGAAAATTCCAACATATCTCACCCACTCTGGCCGCATTGCATTGGCTGCCCATCCGATTCCGCATCGACTTCAAAGTGTTGACGCTTACGTATAAAGCCCTAAACGGTTTAGGGCCTCGATATCTGGTGGAACGCCTACTTCCACCAAGTTCTACCCGTGTCAATCGTGCGAGCCAGGAGGTGAGGCTGAGGAGCAATCTACCGTGGGGCTCCCTCGCTGGGTATTTTTAAGAATCAATTAAAAACATGGATGTTTCGGCAGGCCTTTCCTCCAGACAATTCCTGATGTTTCT